GCCTCTTCTTGCGGCCACCTTCCCCCCCCCACCCTGAGGCAACCTGCTCTGCTCCCCAGATCTTGCAAGCCGACGGCGGGAACTACTGCGCCTCGGTCAACGCGGCCACCCTGGCGGTCATTGATGCCGGCATCCCCATGCGGGACTACGTGTGCGCCAGCTCGGCCGGCTTTGTGGACGACACGGCCCTGGCCGACTTGAACTACGTGGAGGAGGCGGTGGGCGGCCCCCAGCTGGCCTTGGCCCTCCTGCCCAAGTCAGAGCAGATCGCCCTGCTGGAGATGAACGCCCGCCTCCACGAGGACCACCTGGAGCGCATCCTGGAGGCCGCCAGCAAGGCCTGCAAGGACGTCTACCTGGTGCTGGACCAGGTGGTGCGGGAGCACCTGCAGGAGGTCACCGCCTTGCTGGGCAAATGAGCACCTCGCTGGTCAGCCGGCCTGCGGGCCAGAGAAGGAGGCCCCCTCCCTAGCAGAGCTACTCTTGAGACTGGGTGGCGTGCGGGTGGGAGACGGGGCCTCGGTGACAGCCCCAGGAGGCCACGGCATTGGGCAGGATGCAGCCGGGAGTGCTCGCGCACGGCCACCCTCCACGCGGGGAGGATGTTTCCGGTGGGTTCTTGTACAGAATGTTTTTTTTTCTTTCAAAAAATAAATGCTTTTCTAAGGAGTGTTTGTAGTGGAGTTGATTTGCCCTCAGAAGCTCACTAGTGGGGAGATGTTCCGCCTGACCCCGGGGCAGCTGACCCCTCCATGTTCTATGTAGAGAGCTATGCCAAGGGCCTGCGAGCTCCCACAGCTCTGCTTTATTTCCCCCTCGTTGAGGGTTGAAATCTGCCTCTCGCCAAGCTAGGCCGTACCTTGGCCGTCCCCTCTTCTGCTGAGGCTCAGGTGGGACTCCCTGGCAACCTTGGCCACCGGGAGGCATCGGCACTCACTGGCCTGGCCTCCGAGATTCTGCCACCCACTTCCAGGCGGCCCACGAGGGCTTTCGGACTTCAAAAGCAGTAGCCAGAGATCCTTAGGAAGCTGGAGGTTGCCATTCATGCTGAACTGGGTGAAGTGAAAAGGCCACCCTGTGGACGGCCTTCCGTGACCGCTGGAACTGCCCTCGGCTGCACGCCCACAGGATCCAAAGGCATCCTCACGTTCACGTGGCGCTCCCGCCTCCCTTTCTAAAATCAAGGAGGGTCAGAAAGGTCTGTCCTTCTAAGGGCCGGGACTGAGAAAGAGCTGAAGCAGCCGGTGGGCTTGTCCCGAGGGACAGGCGGCAGGTTCCTGCTGTGGGCGCACCGGGTGTCGTCCTGAGAGGCCGGAGGGATCCCCTCCGATGCTGGCTGTGGGGCCGTGTTTTCCTCGTTGAGGCCGTGATGTCTCTGGGGCAGGTCCTGCGGAGAAGCCCAGGGCGGCTGATGTCCAGGGACGGAGGGGTCCTCGTCCTGCACTTGGTCACGAAAGCGAACCGGGGACGATCCTCCCCATGGCTTCGAAAGACTCAGCCCAGGCCGTTCCAGGAAACGCAGGGAGGCCGGAACCCGGGTTTTCTTGGGGTTCAGGGGGGGGCAGGACTCCCAGGCTGTGCCCGTATGCACCGGCAGGTGCTGGAACTCCCAAGGGTCAAGGGGGCGGCGTGTCTTCTCAAAGCACCCCCCCGTCTCTCTTCACAAGGGGGGTGGGCCAGGCTGCCCTCCTCCCAGCCCCCTACAGGCTGAGAGGTTGTCCCCTGGACTGGGGCCCTGCCAGATGTGGGTTCAAATGCGTGTGGGCCCTGAGCCTGGCCTACCTGGCAAGATGGGTTTTTAAAAGACACAGCTAGAGAAAGCCAGAGGTGGGGCTTTGTGCTTCTGGGCTGCCAGAGGATTTGGGGGAGGGGGGGAAGGCCTGCACACACACACACCCCTCGGACTCCTGGGTGCTCTGCTCGGGAAAGGGGGCTGGCCAGGAGGGGTCCCGGCTCCGTAGGGAGCGCGCTCTGCTGTCGCTCAGAGGCTCCGCTTTCGGCCCTGGATGCAGGGGAGCGAGACGCGGGGCTAGACCGGCGGCGGCCCAGCCGGCCGAGCAGGAAGCGCGGTCACGGAGTCCCGGAGGTGCCGGCTAGACCGGCCCTTTCGGGCCCGGAGGCGGGACTTCCTGCTGCCTTCCTCGCCCGCCTCCTCCACCTTCCGTTAGCGGCGTCC